ATGTCTAATGGAGAAAGATCACGACCTGACATGTCTAATGGAGAAAGATCACTACCTGACATGTCTAACGGAGAAAGATCACTACCTACTAAGCATCTATAGAGTATTTTTACAAACCTGTGAAACAAACTGCTGCGTACGTGTAGTACTGTAATTATAAACTTTGGCTCTATTAATTCTTAAAGTCTCTAGACATTTTGAAAATTTACATGTACAGTGTATATTACATATACTTGTTGTTTCACAGGTTTATCGATACCACTTTAATACTTTAGGATCGAAGTATACCTTATTCTAAACCAAACAACAGTTCATGTAAGCTATATGTTCCCTAAATTAATAGTCTGGCATACTATGCCTGGAGCAGAATCAGAGTATACAAGACAATCAGTAACATACCTTATTTATGCACAAATTCACTTGCTCTTTATCTATAAATAAAATCAACAAATTAATTATGATACATAGCACCAGAGATAAAATGAGACCACGCCTATAATAGTGGGTGATAAAATCTCATGCCAATTAGATCATCAGCTAAGCACATCTACATGCACATGTAGATATCAAATGAAGGCAGGGAATACAAAAATATTATTGATCAGGTTCTACTTCCCATAAATTATTACATTAAATCATGTGATGTACTGAAGGCTAATTAACTAAGTTGTATATAGTTGTATAAAGTTCAAGCAAACTCAGTGTACAGATTATAATATTAAGTACAGTAATCAAATGAATTTATTTATTCATATTTATTTATTTATTATAAATTTAAATTTATTTACATCAAACTAGGTTATGTAAAGATTTGAAAAGAAGATGTACAGATAGCAATATTTGTGCATGTAAATAAAATATTAGTGTAAAAGCAACATTGTACTGCATGTGTAATATATGTCGATATCAAAATTCAAATGATTTGAAAATTAATGAATACTGTCATTAAGAATGACACATGCCATTGGGCCATTCATGCAGATTGACCGATAGGAACTAAGTATTTTGGACATATTAAATTAAGGAATAGGCAGCGATCAAAAGAAAACATGCATGTATTTTTGATGCTTGAAGTCACTACATCAAAATCCCACCTCAATCCCTTACTGGCATTCAGCATATCCTCCAGCAAAGCTGTACTGCATGCATGTGAAGAAAAAGTAAGTTAAGTTTAAAATTGAAATAAATTATAATCAACAATAAACTAAGAAAATTACAAACTCCCCCTGTTATGTTGCATAATGCATGTAATACATGAACGCAGGACATACCGAATTACTGTATGAATGCTAATGTACTTCCATGACACATTTATTCAATCAAGATGATTTTATTGGAATATTTAATAAAGTGATTTTATTCAATCAAGATGATTATGAGAAATTCATATTTAAAAAGTTTAATTCAAGCTTAGCTACAGTACCATGAAGAACAAATCGTATTCGAGATAAAATTCCTTCTAAAAGCCTGAAAAGTATTAAAAAATGGACACACAAATGACACTTACCTAAAACACATATTAGAGATCGTTCCAAGTACTTCTTTTTCGCAAATGACTCCAAATATAATCAAAATATCAAAAAACTACGAATGCCACATGTTGTCCATTCGTCCGCCATCTTGGAATTTATGACAAAAACACGCGTGACCTTGGGGCAACGCGGGGGGTCTATTCACAAGGTCGAACCCAGGCCTTAATACCCTTGAGTGTATAAAATATTATCAAGGAATTTTAAAGGAAAATATTTTTCATTCGTAAGGGGATTTTAAATATTTTATTGATAAATGACATAATTCTATAACGATTCTCAGTATGCATTATGGATCGTTGTCGTACTTTTTAGTCAGGGAGCAAATGTCATAAATAAAAGTCCCGTGGGAAATCGATGATGAAAGCARGCGABTAGTTTGAATGYGTAAAGGGGATCTTTGGGAACATGACAAAACTTGTCGTCACCTTTGAAAACCGCACCGACGGGATTTAGGGGCATTTAAAGTATGCTATATCGAACGTCAGCATGGAAACGAGGCTACCCTTTTAAATTTACTTTATTATAGTTAGTTTTACRTATTTTATTTCAAAAACTGGTCAGAATGTAATTCTAGATGTGTTCTTKGCTTTCATATACTTTAATCCACATATAGTTTGATCACGTGACTTGAAACACGAAAGCGAGGCTGAATATTGAAAATATTATTATYATTCCCAATTTCAATCTACTTCTTCCAAATCTTGCCAAAAAGTTTATCAATGCTTGATATTYTCTACAYCACCCTTGTTCTGAAAGCTATTAGCACATGATTYAAAGGATGAAAACGAGGTATGTCCTAATATTTCTTAGTTACTGTCTATTCTAGCTTGATCATGTCTGCATATCACTTCCCAAATAGCATCCATAATCGTAAAGCTGTAGGTTTGTTGAAATCTTTCAGTTAAAAGATATAATCAAGTTAAAATGAAATGTATGGCTTTGTGGTCAGCAGTTTAGTATAAAAATCAATTGTGGTCAGCAGTTCTTCGCAACAAATTACAGGTCCGCCATTTTGACTTACAGTGGTTGAAAAGATGCAAAGTTAAGCTTATCATTTACATGGATTCTAATCCTGATGAAACTCAAAATGCTGATTTAAGTTTATGCATAATTTGTCAGCAAATAAGTAAAGAGGGTTTAGTAGAAAACCCTAGTTGCCACGAGAAAACACTACAAGCGATCAAGGAATGGGCGACTTATGGTGAAGTGAAGTATGTGAGGACCTGGGAACAGATACGCCGATACTCTTTAGAAAAGTTAAAAGAAGCAAAAGCATCATGGCATAGAACGTGTTACAAGAACGCTGTTCACTCTGGTATGTTGAAAAGAGCAAAGACCCGGTATGAAAGTCGACAGGAAGGACCATCTGCTAAGCGTAAATCTTATGTAACAATTGAAGAAGCTTCACAATTGACAAGATCTAAAACTGCACCATACAATAAAGATGTTTGCTTTTTTTGCGATGGGATCGCTGGCTATCGGCAAAATCTTCATAATGTGTCTACCACTTCTGCAGGCGAATCTCTACGATATGCTATACAAACATCGTGCAATGTCAAACTGCAAGTAAAGTTGAATTCCGCAATAAATCCTAATGACGCCCATGCCATTGACATAAAGTATCATAAATCAAGCCGCCAATGGCAACATAACTCGAAGATTGCTTGTATAGACGAATAGCGAACGATTCATCAACGTCGTCCGTCATATTGAATTTGAGTTCTTGCCACCCAGAAGTCTGCGCATGCGCATGAAAATGTTAACAAAAGATCGGCCATCCATGTAATATCTTCTTTACTCCGACGAAGGATTAATGTCCGAAACGTCATTAAGTTATTTCCCATACTTTTTTACGGTGTTAACAACTGTTTCTTTAGAAACACCGATGCAGCTCAAACTACAACGCTTACCGCTAGTTGCCGCGCACCATGCATAAATATCCTGTAAAGTTTGAAAAATGGACAACCCGACTTCACGCTCCAAGAGCGTCCCTTAGTTAACAATTTGAATTTTAAGTAAACAATGTTTTGCCGATGTTTCCAATGTTATCCTGATGTTTTTCGT